CGAAGAAGATGTATGTATGTATGTATGTATTTATTTTAACCTGTGATTCTTTTTTTCAGGTTTTTTTTTATTTATTAAAAAGTTTTTAAAAAAGTCTTCACTATCCCTTTGTATATTTAACATCCTTGTTGAATATATTTTGATCAAATAAAAATGCAGGCTTGTAGAGCAAAATAAGAAACTTCTTTCAAAAACTTTAAAAATAGTAATGGACTTTTAGGTTACTGTATGTACATATTAATCAAACTTTATCTGGGTAATCTCTTTTTTTGTTTAATGAACATGTTATTGTTGTTATTCTGCTGTTTTATTCAATTTATTTACAGTTCCAGAAAACCACATCAGGAGATGAACATAAGTCCTTTTATAATTTTTTTCGGTATGGCCAGGATTTTCCCTTCTCATTATTGTCATATTATTAATTTAAGTAATATGATATTATGCATTGCATTGTTAGCTTAAATATGCTACAAATCAAGTGAAGAGAAAGACACGATCGCTACTGATTAGAAAATAAAAACTTTATATTATAAACTATCCTCTATTTGACTGCAGTCCATATTTCTTCTCGTCTGTTACGCTTATGGAGGCCCCTCATCGAATCGCCGGCCCTGTTACTACTTTATTTCTGTGATGAACTAATGACTTTTTAAAACTTATTTTTAACGAACACCCTGTTTAAGTAAACTGAAGCAATTCACAATGGAAGCCATGATTTCAGAACCATCTTGAAGTTCTTGGTCATCGGGCTCATCTATGACAATGTCTGGCATTATACCTCAATGTAGTTGGTGTGTATTCCTGGTCTAGAAAGTCACTTTGGACGAGACTTCACTGTGGTTGGAAAACATTTCCTCCTGGGAACCAGAATCCATTTGTTTAAAGTCATCTTGGACGACCAAGTTGTGTGTGTGTGTGTGTGAATACAATTTTTAATACAATACTTGACATTAACCTGTTCTAAACTTTGAACCGCTCCAAAGCATCAAAGAAGGTGACCGTGATCCTGCAGTTGTAGACTCGGTTTGCGTGGCTCTGTTGTCCTGGCTGAGTGACTGAGATTCTGCGGACGGTGTCCACTAGGGGGCGCGGGTGAGTCTCGAACGCGCACAGTTTCACTTTCGGTTCTATCGAGTAGGGGGAGGCTGCAGACTTGGAGCCGGCAGTTTTACGCCCCTGACAGTTTTAAGCCCCTGTTGTTCCTGATGCGTCCAGTAGGAGGAGACTACACTAGTGACGTTATATGAGCCTAGTCCTATTTCATTACAGATCTATAGCATCAGACCTTCTAGAAGCGACATGAATTGAGGTATTTTAAATAATCTGCTAAAGTTATTGTTGTTGATTGAATTGTAATGATGCAATATTGATTATTTCTAAACGAGATTCGATGTCAATTCAAAAGATGGGTCTATAATTTACAGTTTTTTACAATCACTTTGCTACTATTTTCAGAACCTTGATGTCATTTTTCAAAACTCTAGACACAAAACTCAAAACGGTTATCACTTGTAACACAGGCTGTCTAATGTTCAAAACATTGCATTGTGCATTCACTTCTTTAAAGAAATCTTGCACTTGCACAATCATTGGTTCAAAACACAAATTTACTGTGAAATAGGCCTAAACAAAACTATAGCTCACCCACACACAAGCAACCGTTAGTTTCACTGTCATTTTTCGTACAATCATTAAATGTTGTAGAACAAAATAGGTGATCCAGGTTTCATTATGGCACTACATGTACAGTAAACACATCTCTGTAAAGCAGTACTGCAGTAGTAGAGAGAATACACACATACAGTAGAGGAATCATTGAACAAAGTGTGTGATATATTGATGCAAAACACTACAATCACAACATAGGTTTATTGAATCTCATTATCTTGAAACTTTCATGATTTACTGTAAACATGGAAGATTGTGTGTCATGCAACAGTTATCATTTTGAGCAGTTGTATCAATTGATAGTTAGATCATTGTAAGGAAATGAATAGACACTCATTTGAAATGTAATGTGTGAATTGCCTTTTGAAATAGTACTTTGATGTTAAGTTGTGTCATATCGAACAGGTGATTTTTGTTGGATGAACAAATGATCTAAGTTTTATGTATATTGTATCCAAGCAATTGAGAAAACGGTTAGAGTTTTTAAAATGTGCATTTTGATCATTGGTTGTGAGTTTTGAAAAATGACATCAAAGTTCTGAAAATAGTAACAAATTGAAGGTAAAAAACTGTAATAAAGTCTATTATTTCGAGAGACAATAAAAGTTGGCTACTTGATGGTCAGGTTGATGTTCTGTCTGGCTCAAACTTAGCAAACTTAACCACATATAGGTTTAAAAGCTGCCCTAGTCTTCTCTTTATCTGCTCTGTCTCACTCACTTTTAAAATTCATTTAATTTTTATTTTTATCTTGTCTGTCTTTACCTTGCGTGACATGGCATCTACTGGTAAGACCCAGTTTACTCCATTTAAACATACCCTACTCCACGTGGTTTCTGGAGCAACATCACAGTGGATATTGGAAATGTGTTAATTACAGTTTATGATGTGTACACAAACACATTTATAATAGGCATGTATGTATGTATGTATGTATGTATGTATTTGAATGAACATCTCTCTAAAGATTCAAACTGCACACTCACTCTAATATTTTGTTTTACAAATAATACATACAAACATAAATGCATTATAAAGCCCACATTAAAAACGTTGGCCCATATGGTTTAAATGTATATTTTGGTTTAAGTTGTTTTTTTTTATAAATGAGACGATCTAATTTTCTAATGTATATCATACAGTTTTCTTAAAATAGCGTACTGATCTGGACTAAAATGTGTGTGCACTTAATGTGTGTTTTATCATACTCTGTCTTTAGTTCTTCTTTTTAACTTGTATCTCATTAAGGTGTGTAGGCCTATCTGCTTTAGCTACTTAAAAAAATTAAAATCTCTGTCTCTAAACTTTTATAAACACCTATCTTTTGAACCCCCAAAACATTTTCAACCATGACATTGGGCTATTATTTTATAACCATTGTTTCTACCACTATTCAACTTTAGCTTCTTTTGTAAATAAGTAACTTTTTGTGAACAAAAACATTGTCTCTTTCTTTTAAATGGCCCTTGGAATTTTAGAAAAGGGTTAAATTGTGTTTGTCTTCATTAAATGTTATGTAGGACACTGTTCTAGCTGTATGATGACAATTGTAAATTTTTCAGCAGATATTTCATTAAGGATCCATATGATTAAGTACTGCATATCTCAAGGGTAAATATGGTACATAAATGTAACTGTATATACTTCACAACAACATATATCAGTCAGTTTCCTGTATATAAAACAGTTTAAAATAATTATTTTTTCAGTAGGTCAAATATCATTACTTTGTCCATCTGATTCAACTATGTGTATTAGCCTGAGTGGAGTGAAGCCCAACCGAACATCTGGATGTTTTAATCCTTATATGCAGATAAATCCACTGTCTATAACGTTTATTTAAATAAACAAATACATAAAAATTAGTTGAAGTCTAGACGGTTATTAATGTGTTTGTTTCCAGCGTCGTTTTACGTTATTTCGCCATATATCCTTCTCCCCCTACTGGACGCATCAGGAACAACAGGGGCTTAAAACTGTCAGGGGCGTAAAACTGCCGGCTCCAGGTCTGCAGCCTCCCCATATAGGTTCTATCCGTTTCCGCGTTGGACACAATGGCGGAGCTCGCTGGTAAGGTTTGATTATCAACAAAATATATATATTAACATGTTAAACGCGTCTATGATATGTAGGAAATCAAATCTCTTCCTACTTACGCAGTTATTTACATATGAATTATGCATTTATAGGAGCGTTTAAGAACGGAGAGTCCGACGGGCGGTGACATACGCAGGGTATATTAAAGTTAAACTTGACTGATTTTTTAAGAATAAATTGGAAGCAAACGATGCATTTGGCACTGTGTGTTTTTGTTAGCTATATCACCGCCACTTCAATAAAAGCATTAAAATCATTGTTTGCCTAAAAAAATGTCAGGCCTTGTATAAAAACGAGGAAATAACCTATATGTTCGTTATTATTCTGACGCTAAATTTTCTCTCATCTTATTTAAAACATTCATTTAAAATAAGATCAAAACCATGCACGAAATAACACCAATAAATAAATGCAAACAGAAACAGGCGCATATGAATAATAGACGATTAGCTGTAAACCGATTGTGGGATATTTGTGTTATTCTCCGTCATGTTATGCTTCAATCCATCAGTGAAAAAACTTGTTTTCTGTTATGCCTAATGTTCAGCAGATACTCTAACAGTGTGTGTGTGTGTGTGATAGGCAGAAGAAGTCTATATTTTGCACTCCCCGACAGTAAGTCCATTAAATGATTATTTCAGTGTTTGATGTTTCTCTTCTCCTATGGAGAATCTTTAATGTTTTTGGTTGGTTTTCTGTTTGTCTTGTATACTATGTGATACATGAGGACATTAATAAATGATTATGCTAGTGCAGAAAAAGTGAATAAAATGCATATGGAAGAGACTTGTCTTAAACTTTAGGGTTGTTGATATTATTTCTGTTGTATGTTCATCAGATTCACTAACTGTGTGTTTTACTGTGTTGTTTTGCAGTGAGCGAAGATTCAGATCGGCTCAAAAGTAAGTCCATCTTACTAGAAAATGGATGAATGTATTAGTGATGCATCATTTAAAATTCTACAAAACAATGCTGAAGTAAAATAATGCCAAATGTTTGAATCAAAATGCCTGTTGAATTTCACTACTTGGAGAAAAAAAAATACAGCAATGTTCACAGCAATGCATCGACCATGCTTGCTGTGAATATTTGAGTTCAAAACATTTCAAGCACATTTTCTCTATTAAAAATTCAATAATCCATATTCACCTGTCATATTTCACTTCCAAAATATTCAAACTGTTTACAAAAACAACCTATAATATTCAACAAGCAATTTTCAGTCCATTTTATTTCGCTTTGCAAATTCGCTTCCACAAATTCAGTGGTTTAAATTCGACAGTAAATTCAACGTTGATGTCCAGTAAACTGCAGGAAAAGCAGTAGATTTCCGAGCATAATCTCCATCTGCTGTTAGTCGCCCTCACCAGCATGGGGGGGCAAGCGCGTGACGAAGACCGAGCAACATACATACATATATCGACACCTGTGAAGAGACGACTCAACACCTGTGAAGAGACGACTCGACACCTGTGAAGAGACGACCCAACACCTGTGAAGAGACGACTCGACACCTGTGAAGAGACGACTCGACACCTGTGAAGAGACGACTCGACACCTGTGAAGAGACGACTCGACACCTGTGAAGAGACGACCCGACACCTGTGAAGAGACGACTCAACACCTGTGAAGAGACGACTCGACACCTGTGAAGAGACGACTCGACACCTGTGAAGAGACGACTCGACACCTGTGAAGAGACGACCCGACACCTGTGAAGAGACGACTCGACACCTGTGAAGAGACGACCCCACACCTGTGAAGAGACGACCCCACACCTGTGAAGAGACGACTCGACACCTGTGAAGAGACGACTCAACACCTGTGAAGAGACGACTCAACACCTGTGAAGAGACGACTCGACACCTGTGAAGAGACGACTCAACACCTGTGAAGAGACGACTCAACACCTGTGAAGAGACGACTCGACACCTGTGAAGAGACGACTCGACACCTGTGAAGAGACGACTCAACACCTGTGAAGAGACGACTCGACACCTGTGAAGAGACGACTCGACACCTGTGAAGAGACGACCGACACCTGTGAAGAGACGACTCAACACCTTCACAGGTGTTGAGTCGTCTCTTCACAGGTGTTGGGTCGTCTCTTCACAGGTGTTGAGTCGTCTCTTCACAGGTGTTGAGTCGTCTCTTCACAGGTGTTGAGTCGTCTCTTCACAGGTGTTGGGTCGTCTCTTCACAGGTGTTGAGTCGTCTCTTCACAGGTGTTGAGTCGTCTCTTCACAGGTGTTGAGTCGTCTCTTCACAGGTGTCGGGTCGTCTCTTCACAGGTGTCGAGTCGTCCCTTCACAGGTGTTGAGTCGTCTCTTCACAGGTGTTGAGTCGTCTCTTCACAGGTGTCGGGTCGTCTCTTCACAGGTGTCGAGTCGTCCCTTCACAGGTGTTGAGTCGTCTCTTCACAGGTGTTGAGTCGTCTCTTCACAGGTGTCGGGTCGTCTCTTCACAGGTGTCGAGTCGTCCCTTCACAGGTGTTGAGTCGTCTCTTCACAGGTGTTGAGTCGTCTCTTCACAGGTGTCGGGTCGTCTCTTCACAGGTGTCGAGTCGTCCCTTCACAGGTGTTGAGTCGTCTCTTCACAGGTGTTGAGTCGTCTCTTCACAGGTGTCGGGTCGTCTCTTCACAGGTGTCGAGTCGTCCCTTCACAGGTGTTGAGTCGTCTCTTCACAGGTGTTGAGTCGTCTCTTCACAGGTGTTGAGTCGTCTCTTCACAGGTGTTGAGTCGTCTCTTCACAGGTGTCGAGTCGTCTCTTCACAGGTGTGGGGTCGTCTCTTCACAGGTGTGGGGTCGTCTCTTCACAGGTGTGGGGTCGTCTCTTCACAGGTGTTGAGTCGTCTCTTCACAGGTGTCGAGTCGTCTCTTCACAGGTGTCGAGTCGTCTCTTCACAGGTGTCGAGTCGTCTCTTCACAGGTGTTGAGTCGTCTCTTCACAGGTGTTGGGTCGTCTCTTCACAGGTGTTGAGTCGTCTCTTCACAGGTGTTGGGTCGTCTCTTCACAGGTGTTGAGTCGTCCCTTCACAGGTGTCGAGTCGTCTCTTCACAGGTGTTGGGTCGTCTCTTCACAGGTGTTGGGTCGTCTCTTCACAGGTGTTGAGTCGTCTCTTCACAGGTGTTGAGTCGTCTCTTCACAGGTGTTGGGTCATCTCTTCACAGGTGTTGGGTCGTCTCTTCACAGGTGTTGAGTCGTCTCTTCACAGGTGTTGAGTCGTCTCTTCACAGGTGTCGGGTCGTCTCTTCACAGGTGTCGAGTCGTCTCTTCACAGGTGTCGAGTCGTCTCTTCACAGGTGTTGAGTCGTCTCTTCACAGGTGTTGAGTCGTCTCTTCACAGGTGTCGGGTCGTCTCTTCACAGGTGTTGAGTCGTCTCTTCACAGGTGTTGAGTCGTCTCTTCACAGGTGTTGAGTCGTCTCTTCACAGGTGTCGGGTCGTCTCTTCACAGGTGTCGAGTCGTCTCTTCACAGGTGTTGAGTCGTCTCTTCACAGGTGTTGGGTCGTCTCTTCACAGGTGTCGAGTCGTCTCTTCACAGGTGTCGAGTCGTCTCTTCGCAGGTGTTGGGTCGTCTCTTCACAGGTGTTGAGTCGTCTCTTCACAGGTGTTGAGTCGTCTCTTCACAGGTGTTGAGTCGTCTCTTCACAGGTGTTGGGTCGTCTCTTCACAGGTGTCGAGTCGTCCCTTCACAGGTGTTGAGTCGTCCCTTCACAGGTGTTGGGTCGTCTCTTCACAGGTGTTGAGTCGTCCCTTGACCTCTACATCCCTCCTGCTGCTGAGACCTAATCACAATCTCTCCGCAACCCAACCATACACGGCAACCCGTTTGACTAAGGCTGTCGAGCCCCACTGGTGCGTTAATCCAGTTTCAGTGGCAACGGTTCCGTATGGCATATCACCTACTGCAAAACACAATATCTGCCCAACTACCCATCAGAGATAGAGATACAGAACCAGAAACAAGTGGAGCATGAACAATTTTAGTGATCAATGGTGACAGGGCTGGTAAACAAGCTTTCAGTAACAGAGTTGGTAGGGGGTCTAACTGGTAAGTCGAAGATTTAGATTTATCTATCAGACCCACTTTCTCTGAAATTGTTGGTAGTGTAAAGTTAGAGAAAACAGAGGGGGCGGTGGACATTATTTAACTTTGGACAGTACATTTTTATAATTTTGAAGGGGAAAATGACTGTGTGGTTTTGTCAATATGATGAAATGTAATTATATAATCAGATGAAAGCAAACTTATTCTTAAACTTATTCTTAATTCTTTCAAAAAAGCAAATTAAAGTGACGTTCTCTTTCACAGAGCCTGATGAACAACATGATGTAAACGATCTGAGGATTGTGCTGCTGGGAGTCTCTGGTGCTGGAAAGAGTCCAACGGCAAATTCAATACTGGGTCGAGAGGCATTTGAAGAAAGCAGTACCAGAGAGAGTGAGATACAGAGAGGTAGAGTAGAAGACAGAAACATCTCCATCATCGACACTCCAGGATTCTTCAACTCTCAGCTGACTGATGAAGAGCTGCAGAAGCAGATGATGAAGAGCCTGTCTCTCTCCGATCCTGGTCCTCACGCGTTCCTGCTCATCATCGACCTGGAGACTTGCAGAGAGGAGCCGAGGAACGTTGTGGAGCAAATCCAGAAGAACTTTGAAGATCAAGCTATGAGGTTCACTATGGTGTTGTTCATTGGAAGAGAAAAAATATTAAAAAAAGACTGGATTCAAATCAGTGAGAGTGAAAATATTAAAGAGCTGCTGAACTACTTTGAGGGAAGATATCATGTGATAAACAGCAAAAGTGAATGTGATCTCTATCAGATCACAACGCTCTTAAAGAGTATTGATGAAATGGTGAAGAACAATGGAGGCCAGCTGTACAGCCATGCAGGATGCCACAAGGATGTCAGGAAACAGATGGAAAGTCAGAAAGAGATGAAAGGACTGATACAGAAGATTGCTAGAGAAAGATCGCTAATAAAATTGGGTAAATATTTACCCATTTGTGGTTTCATGTAAAAAAAATAATAAAGTTCAACACGTTTACAAAGTAAACATTGTGTTGAAAAATCTGGAAATCCAGGTTTTTTAACACAATTGGAACCCCGGTTGTTTGATGGGAAAATAATTGTTAAGGGGGTAAATTAACTTATTTTAAATGCTTGTTCTGTCTTATATTTAGTCATGTTAAGTCATCTCAAGGCCCACTGAGTAAAGGGCCCCTATTGAGCGAAGACAAAACACTGAGTTATTAGTTATTATTAATGTAAATAACATTTTAAATTCCTCTCTTTCTCAGACCTGAGGATTGTGCTGTTGGGTAAAACTGGATCAGGAAAGAGTTCAACGGGAAACACCATCATCGGCGGCTTTGAGTTTGAGCAAGGTGTGTCCACTAAGTCTGTTACTAGACAATGTCAAAGACATGTGACTGCAGTGGAGGAGGATAAAACCATCTCAGTGATCGACACTCCAGGACTATATGATACGGAAATGAGTGAAGAAGAACTGAAGAAAGAGATCGTGAAGTGCATCTACATGTCTGCTCCTGGTCCTCATGTGTTTCTGCTGGTCATCAGACTGGATGTGAGATTCACAGAAGAAGAGAAGAAAACAGTGAAATGGATCCAGAAACACTTTGGAGGAAAAGCTTCTCAGCACACCATCATTCTGTTCACTCACACTGATCATCTGAAGGGGCTTTCATTAGATGAATATATTAGTGAAAGTAATGATCTCAAGGCTCTCATTAACGAGTGCGGTGGCAGATTTCACTCGTTCAACAATGAAGACATGATTAATCGCTCTCAGGTCACAGAACTGCTGCAGAAGATTGATGAAATGGTGAGGATCAATGGAGGACAGCACTACACCAATGAGAGATTTCAAGAAGCCCAGAAAAGGATTCAACAAGAGGCTTTAAAACAAAAACTGATAGACTATGGGAAAACAGCACTAGCAGCAGCAGGAGGAGTAGCAGCAGTAGGAGGAGCATTAGCAACAATAGTAATAGCAATTGCAAAATAAGGGCCATAATTAATCTGATTAGACAACAAAGACCAAATCTTCATATACTAATTTCTAATTCCGTTCTCTAAAAGATTTGATGAGAATTGCATTTTTGAGTTTTTTGAGATTGCCATGTTCAGTTCTGGGGTGCGTTTCCCGAAAGCATCGTTAGCCAACTATGGTCGCAAGTTCCATCGTTATCAGCATAGTTCAACGAGTCGGTGTTTCCCGAAACCATCGTTCCAACGAACATTCGCAAACAGCATCGCAAAGTTGTGTGGTTTGAACGACAGCTCTCGACCTATGGTTAGAGGCATCGTTTCTATATTGCAGCACATTTGGACGTAATAAATTGTTATCTTGAGCAAAATAAGCAAGCTGACAATCAGTACAATCAGTGCCTTTTATTTAGAATACATACAAATGTAATTTACGTCTTTTAGTTTGTCAAAAGATTTGAACTAACGTGTTTGAAGAGTGCGCATGTGCGAACGTGCTCTACTATGTAAGAACGAGCCAAATGTTGAGTCTGGTAATAAAGCAAAACAACTGAGAACAATTAGAAATAGTCCCCAGATGACATGTCTGTAATTTACATAAAACAAATCTAGCGTTAATTAAATCTCAAACAGTTTCATTAAAAGTATTTATTACTCCACCACGTGCGAAACCAACGTGGTTGAACGATACTTTGAGACAGTGGGTTTCGGGAAACAGTCGTGACTAGCTAGTTGATTTCTCCAACGAAGCATCGCACTATGGTAGTGAATCAGCGAGTTACATCATTGCATGGAAACGCATCCAAATGCATGGATAGTATGTATATTGATTATTTATCGCACTATGGTAGTGAAGCAGCAAGTTACATCATTGTACGGAAACGCATCCAAATGCATGGATAGTATGTATATTGATTATTTAATCTGTATTGTGATTGTAAAAACCTAAAAAAATATATCTCTCATTTACTTCCTAAACAAAAGTGCTATTTTACAGAAAAAGTAATTTCTGTAAAAACACATTCAATACATTTACTTTTTTTAATACAAGAATTATTTCTGTTTTTTTTCTGGTTCTAAAAGGCCGATTGCGTCACTGCCGCGCGAGTGTGTCTGCGCGCGAGCTACAGTGAACAAGAGAGAGTGTCCAAGCGCGCTCAAAAGTGCGCGAAGGATAGCATCATCGAAATGAATTCCGGCTTCCGAGGATCCTTCCTTGACAGTGAGAAACACCTCGAGTGTGTCTGTGTGCGAGCGACACGGAGCGACTGCACGCGAGAGAGACCGGTTGTGTCTGACGGTAGAGATCCACTTGTCCGACACGACAGTCGCGTGTTGTCGCGACGCCTCCCCACATTTCTACTTTGATGGGCGTTCCTCAAGTTTACCGCTATGAGCGTGGTTTTGGGCCAGCGGCCAGTCTAGAACAGAGGACCTGCGAGAGACTTCCCCCCCCCGTCTCCATATGCTCTCCATATGCTTGGATAGTCGCGGCGCGTTTAACAGAATTCATTTGCATAAAGATGGGCATCAGCCAGCTTTTTGACGCGCAGCATTTTTCTAAATGAAGCGCCGCCTTCCCAGAATGCTTTACGGGCGCGTCGAAGTCACGTGACGTCACCCATAGTAACATGGGCGTAATTTGCGGGGGGTTAGGGGGGTTATGACCCCCTCAAAAATCAGACCCAGCTAATATAACCCCCCCCCCCAATCATTCAGATTAGAATGAAATATTCCGAATTAATATGAAATACATTTGCCAGCAAAAAAGATAGTATCATACTTTAAATAATCTGTAATGTACCCTCTGCCCACCGCACCGACTTGGTATTACCCAACCCGCTTTCTCTACCAAGTTTGTTTACTATAGGCTTGTTCGACTTCATGCAGCTCTGCGCAGACCGATCGGCGGCTGACTTGAAACAGTGCATGCCGGTTAGAAATTTTGTCCGACTTGATGCAGCGCTGACTCCACGTGACTGTGACATATGCCATCAAAGTACCGCGAGAGCGATACGAGAGTAGCCGGAGGACTCAGCCAGCGCAGCTTCTCAAGAGCGGCTGCACGAGCTCTGATGATGTCACAGCTGTTCCACGATTCGCCGGATTCACCGCATGACAACGATCACGTGCGTTTCGTGTTTATTCTCACACCTTTAGTTCCACTAAAGCTCACAAATCAGTATTTTATAACAGTAAACACTCTTGTCATGTAGTCGCAATGTTATATTGTGTCATGTTTATCATGTTTATCAAAATAAAACTGATTAAAAAACGTTGATTCCACGTCATTGATTATAGGCTTATTTTGAACTTTATTCTAGTTCAAACAGATGCTGTATGAAGCAGTAAAGTATTGGATGAAAATGAGTCTGAAATATCTGTTTATTTGGAAAATGTTGCATTTATTTCACTTCAGCTGTGGTAAAGCATGCATACACCACGTGAGCGGTCACTACGAGAACCAGAAATTTGTCCGACTTCACGTCTCTGTTTGCAGCTCCTCCCCGCCTGCACGCGGCTGTTCTCGCCGATCGGTTGCATCCAGCCGCAGGCGATGTCGAACACACCTAATGTTGCGCACGCAGTCGCTGGGATGAATGGTTTAGCTGACGGTGCATGCTAACGGACAGAAAGATGGAAAGGACATTGAAAGGCAGCCAGACAACGATTTTTTAATTGTTGGTCGGCTCCAAAAAAAGGAAAGATCCTGACCAAACGGAGGTACCCCATTGCTAAGTTAGCTTTCTCAAAGTGTGGCGCAGCCTACTGTTGGGGAATAGAGACGAGAACAGGTTTTGTGCCCATCTTTTTAATTCCTTTATTTATTGACCATACACTCAAAACAAAACAAAGACACATTTAAATGTAAGCCTTACTTAACCTTTTCTCACGTACCGGTAAGTTTAAAAGTTTTTCAAGGCGACCGTTATTGATCGTAGTATCATTTTATGGTTCCCATGGAGACGCGTTCTTCATTGCTTGTCAGCCACAACAGCTGAACGACTGATGATCTGCTTTTAAAAAAAAAAATTTATTCAGAATTTCACAATTTGCTAGCTATATTAGGATCTGATATTCTGATTGTCAAATATTTGCTAGTGGATGTGTTTTGTTGTTAAAACACCTTTGCTGTAGGCTATGCGCAACGTATTTTAGGTATACGTACAGTAATGTATTGTGCATGCGAATCTATATCATGCATTATGGTAGTTTCTCCGTGGGTGTGGTGAACGCTGATTGGAGCAGCGGGGGTGTAATGTGAGAGCGGAAGTGTAAGCACGGAGCAGTAAAGCTTATCTGCAGTGAAATGGTTGTCCGTGTCGTTCCTCTTTATAGTAAAACATAACACGTACATTATTAGGAATTTGCCACCTTCAGCTCAATTTGATATCATTATTAGGTGTTCAAGCACGAAGTGCTGAAAACCTATTGTATTTGCTAGAAAGAAAAAAAAAATCCCCTAAAACGCATCGTGCAGCCGAAACCGTAAGGGCTGGAGCTCTGAAACTTTGTCAGATGGTAGGGCCTCGAATTGTGGAGAAGCTATCAGAGTATGACCCCGATTGGCCCATAGGTGGCGCTACAGCAGCCAAAAGTACTAAATTGCTCATAACTCCTAGACCGTTTGACTTAGCTTCAATGTTTTTACACCACTGTAATCCCTGGCTCAAGACGGACAAGATGTATATCTCGGATTTGGAGCAAAACAATTATCTAGATCAATAATTATCGAAAAAAAGTTGAAATTTTGCATTTGGTTGGCTGTAACAGGCTCATTTAGATAGTGGTCTGTGGCAAAATTCAGTCCAAAAGTAACCAAAAGTACTAGATTGCTCATAACTCCTAGACCGTATGTCGTAGACTCAAGTGTCTTATATCATTGGAAAGCTGGTCACCTGACGAAAAAAACGTTTATCTCTGATTTCATTTCCGGTATGCAAATTTTTCCGCCATTTTGAATTATGTTTAAAAACTACTTTTGCAAACTAGTCCCTGGTTTTTCACCCGATCAGAACCAAACCAGTGCAGAACTGTTCTCTGGAGTCTGACGATCAATAATTATTGAAAAAAAGTGAAAATTTCTATTTCCTGTCGCTAGGGGGCGCAAAATAAACGTTGTGGGTGGAGCATAATTTACTAAAATGGCTATAACTCGATAAGTAAATGAGATATCTCCACCAAACTCGGTACACATGTGTACTAGTTCAATTTGAGGTCACAACAAAAAAATGGTGACGATTAAACACTAGGTGGCGCTATAAAGCGAAAAAAACGTAAAACTACCTGGCCGTTTGTCCGATTGACTTGAAAATTGGTATGCAGTGTCTTGGTCCAAGGCCCCATCTATGAGTATGAGGAAATCGATGTATGTCAAAAAACATGGCCGCCATTGGCCAATGAATTTTGAGCACAAATGAGACAAGGTTAACGGTGGCCGATCAGAACGAAACTCGATGGGTGTGTTCGACTCATGGCCTAAGAAGTCTGTAAGAGTTTTGAAAGAAATTGGCCACTAGTTGGCGCTAATGAGTTTTATGGCTCTGTAATCACGTGGAATTGCACCCATCCCCATGAAATGCATATCATTGGATAGATCTCCTCATGCTGAACCACTTTGCCTATAGAACCATTGCTGTCAATCAAATCGTTCATTAAATATTCACAAATATGTCAAAAACCTACTTTTGCAAACTAGTCCCGGTCTTTTTGCCCGATCTGAATCAAACTAGTCTAGGCCTCGAAATTTTGCATTTGTTTTGCTATAACAGGGTTGTTTACAAAAGAGAAGTGGCAAAATGCACCCAAAAGCCTATAAATCCTAAAGGAAAACTCAGAACTTCACAAATATTGATGAGCATATGTTTCATAACATGCTGAAGAAGCATGCACAGTTTCATGTAGATCGGACTATAGGTGGCGCTATAACTGTTAAAAACCTCTAAAACTATGCATTTCCAATGGTAAATTGCCTGTATTGGCTGTAAATGGTGTTTTCCATTTATTATGTCAGTGGATAAATGTATGTTAAATAAAACTGAATGCCTTTTGATGCTTTTGTGCTTAAAGGCCTTAAAGGTCTGAACTGCTTGAACACCGATAAATGCTGCTTGCAGCTTTAATTATTATTATTATTTTATTTTTTTTGTTCTTTTTGCACGGAGTTTGCAAAGTGACAAAATGTATCACAGCACAACTAACGTTAGTAGTTTCTCAAT